GCAGCCGTACCTACTGATGAGGCGCCCTGGTGGCCATGAGGAGAAGCTACTCCACTGCTCCTGCCGCCGTCGCAGGTGGGTGGGGGGGGTTCTTGCATGTGTGCTCATGCAAGCCAGTGTGGGGCGTGTGTGTAATGCTATGTCCGCACGAAGTGTAATTATCGCTACTGTGGGCTCATTCAGACAAAGGGACTGCGTCGGTGAAGTCGTGATTACGCGTGGTTACGCGTGGTCTCTGCTGGGGGGAATGTGCGTAATGTGTGGAGCAGCAAAGCAGACAATGTGTGTCCTGTCCACACGAACCATAACGTTCGCTTTTGTAGGCTCATATGACACAGCCTGCCTTCTGTGCCTCACACAGTGTGGGGAATGTGTGCTTGGTGTGGCTGAGTTGGCTGAGACAGGCACAGACAGCATTTATTCAACATCTTCCACACAAGGAGCAACAAGGTTTTCACACACAGTCCCGACCCATAGCATACCTGTCGCTTGCTCTGAGCGACGAGTGTCAGGCCAGTAGCAAGCAATTAAGTTTTTAGATGTGGTTAGCCGCAGCTAATGGCAGCAACGTGGTCACATGGGGTCTCACTGGTCAGCTGATCCACGGGCAGACCGCGTGTTAGCTTCATGTTGGGCTCCTGTTAGCTTCAATTTAGCATCCTTCTAGCTCAATGTTAGCCTGACGTTAGCATCATATTAGCTCAACAATTTTCTGGCCAGACCTGAAAGAATCTTAATCGTAATAATTAGCAAACTAAATGTACACTGAACAAAACTTTTGTTTTTGCCCCCATTCATCATGAGCTGAACTCAAAGATCTAAGACTTTCTCTATGTACCCAAAAGGCCTATTTCTCTCAAATATTGTTCACAAATCTGTCAAAATCTGTGTTAGTCAGTACTTCTCTTTTGCTGAGATAATCCATCCACCTCATAGGTGTGGCATATCAAGATGCTGATCAGACAGCATGGGTTTTGCACATTTGTGCCTTAGGCTGGCCACAAAAAAAATATAATTTTGTTCAGTGTACATTCACTGAATGAAAATTATGAAAAGAAAACACATTTTTCACAAGAATTGTTATGAAAATGCATTTTAATGCTGTATTATATATATAAAATACTGCATTTTGCACTGAGAATTTTCACAGAAAGAAACTTAGACAGACAAGTGACGTGGACGCAGGCCAATAGAAAGAATATGCAAAATATCTACGTAGGCATCTCACTATTTTATAGCTGGTATTGTGAAACTAATACGTTTTATCTTGTGGACCGATGTAGCTGTTAGGGGTGTGACACTTAAAGACACTTAACCCACCAGACGAAATGAGATTCGAGACTGGGTTCACGAGATCGAGACCAGACAAGACGATGCTTTAACACTATTAAAAAAATCTTTATATGAAAATTTTGAGCATTAAACACTGCATTATGATGAATTGTCTCCACCAGTTTAGGGCAATTAAAAAAAATAAAATCAGGTGGCAGGTGACAATTCAATCTCCATAGTCTAACTATAACAGAATATAATGCAGGGCAGCTCTCAGTCATTCTGTGCTGCTTTCAGACCTGTTTCTCCTGTAGATCAACTTTTCTCTAATGTAATATGTAAAATGTAATATCATCCCTGCTGAGTCTTGATTTAGTCACCTCAATGATAAATTATTAAATTTTTATTTATTTATAAACTCCTGAACATTAATAGCTCCTATGTTTCGGGAGCTTTTCTGCATCAAAACTTTCTGCACATTTAAAATTTCTCCCACATATGACGTGTTCTCTGACATGTCCACAAAAAAGGAAGAATATTACCAGACTAACGTCATCATTTGATGAGAAGTCTACCTGCCCTGACGCAGTTTGGGACTGCATGTTGCATGTGAAACCGAAAATAAATGAAGCACTTTTTATCAGGCAGAAATCTCACCACATATCCACACATGTTAACTTCAGCAGCTCAGATAAGTAGAAGTGCAGCTCACAGTTCCAAACAGAGCAAGGCTGGCTTCAGTTTGTAAATGTTAATGTTGCAAAACTCTATCAGCTACATTACCACTCGTCACAGTTGTCTGGACTCACAGCGCGAGCGGGTTACGCCACTGTCAATCAGATGGGCGGAGTTGATTCGCTCCGTAAGTCTATCTATTCAGTTTATACATTTGTATTTCACTGCATGAGGAAATTAATCTGTGGCTTGACAGCATGTGAAAAATGTAATTTGCGTGAGTCTCGCGAGACAGCTTTTTAACTGACGAGAAATAACGATGAACTGCTGCTCCTCAGAGCTAACGCCGTTTACATTCCACCTCAGGCCTGTGTTAGTGAGGCGTTACTACACCTGGCGTGGAGAGGCCTGCGGACACTCACAAACTACAGGTGACCATCACCCAACACTGCTGGTACTCAAAGACAAGCGTTGAATGGTTTTTATACTATAGGTTTGAGAACCCCACAGTCACACCTCTCCCCCGCTCCAACATCATCTTCAAACAATCACCTTCCCTTACTGCCATTCTGTCAACCTGCTAACCCCTCACCTGCTTCCAGAGGCAGAAGATCAGGAAGGCTCCTGGCCCTGACGGTGTGTCACCATCCTGCCTGAAAATCTGCACAGACCAGCTGGCCCCCATCTTCACACTGATCTTCAACAGATCACTGGGGCTGTGTGAAGTTCCCTCCTGCTCCACAACGCTCCACAATCATCCCCAAAAAACCCTCTATCTCTGGATTAAATGACTACAGGCCTGTAGCCCGGTCCACATGAAGGACATTACAGGCCCCCTGCAGTTTGCCTAACAGGTCAGTGGATGATGCAGTCAACTTGGGACTGCATCACATCCTGCAACACCTCGACTCTCCAGGGATATATGCAAGGATCCTGTTCGTGAACTTCAGCTCGGCGTTCAACACCATCATCCTGGACATCCTCAGCACCAAACTCACCCAGCTCACTGTGCTAGCCTCCACCTGTCATTGGATCACAGACTTCCTGACTGACAGGAGGTGAGGCTGGGCAACATCACATCAAGCACTGGACTATTAGCACTGGCACCCCCCAGGGTCTATGCTCTCCCCCCTGCTCTTCTCCCTCTACACCAACGACTGCACCTCTAGAGATACATCTATTCAATTTCAATTCAATTTTATTTATATAGTGCCAAATCACAACAACAGTTATCTCACAGCGCTTTTCATAAAAGAGCAGGTCTAGACCGTACTCTATGATGCTATTTACAGAAGCCCAACAGTTCCCACCAAGAGCAAGCACTAGGCGACAGAGGCAAGGAAAAACTTCCTTTTAAGAGGCAGAAACCTTGAGCAGAACCATGGCTCAGGGTGGGCGGCCATCTGCCTCGACCGGTTGGGGGTGAAGGAGAGAGAGAGAGAGAGAGAAAGAGAGAGAGAGAGGGGGGGGGATGTAAGGAGAGAGAGAGGGGAGGGAGGCAGCCTACACAATATACACACAGAGGTACAGACAGTGAAGGTGATGTTGCTATAGACTAAATGAAAAATGGTACAGATATTTATAATAGTGTTAATGGTAACAATCGTAATGTTAATGATTATAATAACAATAATAACAATAACTGACTAGCAACAATAGTCGTTGCAGCAGAGGGTGTCGAGCAGGAACACGGGGACACATCTGTCAAACCCCTGGTCATCCGCCCCATCCACGACGGTGATGAATTGGCCTTCAGACAGGAGGTTGATCAGCTGGCTCTCTGGTGCGGTCAGAACAACCTGGAGCTTAACACGCTCAAAACTGTGGAGATGACCGTGGACTTCAGGAGGAGCCCCCCCTCTCTGCCCCCCATCACCATACTCAACAACCCTGTGTCTGCTGTGGAATCCTTCAGGTTTCTGGGATCCACTATATCCCAGGACCTGAAGTGGGAGCCCAACACTGACACCATCATCAAGAAGGCCCAGCAGAGGATGTACTTCCTGCGCCAGCTCAGGAAGCTCTACCTGCTTAAGGACCTGTTGATCCACTTTTACACAGCCATCATCCAGTCTGTCCTCTGCACGTCCATCACTGTCTGGTTTGGATGTGCCAGCAAAAAGGACAGGAGCAGACTACAACGGGCAGTCAGGACTGCAGAAAAAAATCATCGGTGCCAAACTGCCCTCCATTCAGGACTTAAACATTTCCAGAGTCAGGAAACGGGCAGGAAACATCCCTGCAGATCCATCTCACCAGAACAGGAAGTTGTTGCAACTTTAGTGTACATGCTAAATTCTGCACCAACATTGTGCCAATATTCACTCAAAGTCATAGCGCCACCTACTGGTAACAGGAAGTGTCAAGTTTAACTCTGGGATGTACTACTCCAAGCAGGTTGGCCACAACCACCTCAAAACAGTCTGAGAAAAGCCTTAAGACATTGATGATGCTATGTTGTGAAGCTTAGGTGAGATATAAACCATTTAGACTTCTAATATGTGTATTTCTGCTTTCAGGTTGGTTATCTCAATAGCTGGCCTTCCTGATGTAGTATAGTGTACAATATGAAGTTTGGTTTACTATAAATAACTATAAATGAGCTGCTGATGTCAGTAAATATTCTGTCGTCCGGATTGCACTTTGAGGGTCCTGTGTCCCCCTGCTCTTGTGAATTTAGATTCCAATGTTCAACTTGCAAAGTTTAAACTCAGCATGACTTTGCAGAAACTGTATTGAGAAAACCCTAATGTATTTTGTGGATGCAGAAATAAATTAGGCATAATCAATCAATTATGTTGATCAAAGTAAGTGAAAGTAATAATTTAAAATAACATTTTTCATTTTTGACTTTTCCATCTTACCAAAAATACAATGCAGCGCAACATCAATTTCAACTGTTTCCAGGACACAAGATATGTCAAGGTTCAAAAAGCAGAACCAACTGTGTTCCTTGAATATAAACAATTGATTCTTCTGAACCTTATAATAATAATAGAAAACACCTGATCAAATAAAATACTTCAGAGACAAAAATCAGAAACAACATGTACCTTAGAACCACGCTCGTTGAAGATGATTTCCACATCTAAGATTTTGCCAAATTGCTGTAAAGAAACAAAACAAGGAAATGCTGAGTGATTGATGGTTTTTAAATCATGTCCAAAATGTCATCAATTCAACAGAACATTAAAACCCAACCACTTTTCTTTGTCATTTATCTTTTCCCAAATGTCTTATAAAAATCAACCTGGGATGTCTCAAATTTCAGAAATGCCAGGTATGTCAGGTATTGTTGTACTTACACCGAACATTTGTCTGAGGTCTGGGTCTCTGAACCTGAAGGGGATGTTGGAGACATGAAGTCTCTTGGGTTGGGCCTTGCTGTCTGTGCTTTCAGGTACGGTCTGTGTTGGTGGCTGACTGTCTGTCTGGTCGGCATCTTCTGTTTGCTGAAAAACACAGAATAAAGGGCACATGTGTAAGTTGGATAAGATTTGTTACATTTTGGAACATAAAACTGTCTGCTTGACAACAAAAGCATCTGCACATGTTCTGTATTGAGTGACAGCACTCAGAACCGAAGGGCTCTCACCTGCCCGTCAACTGGGAGCCAGTCCTCAGCCAACTCCCAGCCATTGAGAGTCCCCATTCCAGTTTCCTGACAGGGCGTATCTAATCTGTATCTGACATTACTAAAAATGTTGCCATCTGCGTGAGACCACACTGGTCTCACTTCCATTGGTCTGGGGACTTGCCAAAATTCATTCCTGTCTCCCTCCATGCAGGTGCCTTTACCAGCAGGAGTCCCTACTGCAGTAACAAGGATGACAGGATTTTTTTCCTACACTATGGGCCCGTGTCCACCAAAGCGTTTTTTGCCAGCTGAAAATGCCAGCTTCTCTTCTGAAAACGCCCAGCAGGGAGCACTAGCGGGCGTTTTTGAGGTGCAGCGTTTTTTCCGACTGCTTTGGTTGCTATGATACATTTGTTGCAAGTAGTTCTAGCTAACTTTACTGGATGTAAAAATGTCAACACAGAGTAGAGTACTTGCTCTGGCCCTTGCTCTGCATGAAGAGAAGGCTGAAGCAGGTAGAGAGAGGATGGACTCGCCGTATGTGGGTACCACTGTTTGGTTTAAGAGCTTTAAGAGGTTGGAAGAAGCCCGGTTCCAGGATAGTAACCATTGCTACGGTGTGGTATTTGTCCAGCCCCTCCTCTATTGTGATTGGACAGCTGAGTAAAAAGTGACAGTGACGAATGCAGCATTTTCCCCAAAGTCAAACATTTTTCAACTCTCGGCGACCGGAAAAAAAATGCTCAGTGCCTCGTCACGCTTTTTAAAACGTTTTTAATATGCAGCACTCCCATTGCAATGAACTGAATAAAGACCCTAGCATAAAAAAACGCTTTGGTGGACACGGGCCCTATGCGTTCCTAGGGGAGATATTAACGGGCACAGACCTCTGGAATTGGACATAACTACAATCAATCAGATAAACGGAGCTTGTGCTGTAATGTAGTTGGTAAATCAAACTTACCAAATCCTGCTGGTACGGCAAACACTTTCTTATCAACAAAACTTTAAGTGCAGTTGTTTAAGTGCTTTAAGTGCAGGACTGTTTTGACAGTCTGACAGTGAAACAGCACTTTTTCAAATGGCCTTTTATTGCGGCCAGCTTAAGGCCCACCTGTGCAATCCCCATGCTGTCTGATCAGCATCTTGATATGCCACAGCTGTGAGGTGGATAGATTATCACGGCAAAGGAGAAGTGCTCACTAACACAGATTTTGACAGATTTGTGAACAATATTTGAGAGAAATAGGCTTTTTATGTACATAGAGAAGGTCTTAGATCTTTGAGTTCAGCTCAGGATGAATGGGGCCAAAAAATAAAAAGTTGCAACAACTAAAAATACTAAAGTACAGATACTGAAATAAACTACTTAAGTACACAAAGTAAGTTAGTTGAAAGTTTGTCTGATTAATCCAATAAGTGGCTATGTGTGGATGTGTTGGTGTCAGGTCATATGACCTCCTCATAAATGTAATTGTGAGTCCCCAGCTTTGTAAAATATACAGTAGGCTGTGTGAACAGACCAGGACCACAATTTTTACTTGTATTTTAGCAACAATAGCAACTGGAAGTTAAGAGACAAAGCTGGATGTTCTGTCGTCCTGCAGAGATAGAGGTGATGAATGGTTTGTTGTGAGTGCTGACATTGTGACTTGAAGACTCCATTTGCTGTAAAGGCAGTGAGATGCAGTTGAAAGGTATTGTAAAATCTGATAAGTGACTTGAGTTAGGATTATTTTGCCAAACTACTTTTCCAGAGGTAAAGAATGTGCAACTGCGTTCATTGTAATGCACAAACAAGCCACTGAGAGCGTCATTGTCATTCAGGAGTCCCAAATGATGACCCTGAACTTTGCACACAACTAACAGAACAATCGAAAGTGCAGATTGCAATGAAATATACTGCGCAATGCTCCCCAGAGGATGAACAATTGTGATTTAAATTGTTCAGATAAACTTAACACTACATCCACATTTTCGGGTTAGTTCTTCGTAACAGCAATTCTTTCCATCTTTCAAATGAAGTGAGTCTGTTGTCTAGACCCCAAATAATAAGTGGACAATATATGACACTGCCTTATACTCCAGCCCCTGAAGAACAAGGTACCATCACATTCAGTTAGATGTGGGCAAATTTGTGTTTAAATTTAGTTTAATTGACCCTGACAAAGACAAGGAAATCCAAGTATCACATACCATTTTATCCAGTAATCATAGAGCCATAGTTACATATGTAACTCCCATTATGGGTTATAATTAGAAATGAGCGGGAGATGTGAACGTGAAGAGGGCATGTAAAAGCAACAATGGGCTGTAAAGTTGCTCTTTAATGTCCGGTTGGTTCTCATATTAATAACTGTCCTTATTATGAGAACACAGTATCAGAACTCAGGCAACGGATCCTTTGAGCCCATGCTTTAGAAGAAGTTATAAATGGTGCATGAGACGAAAAGGAGTTTCACCTGGAAATCGTTAAAACTATGCAAACACATAGACATACTAGATGTTCATGCACACATATACAGAGAAGCAGCAGTCTGTGGTTGTCCTTTAGTTCCCAGCGTAAGTGAGATCAATGGCTGTTAAACACAAGAGGACTCCACAGTCTCCTGTTACAGTGCAAGTGTGTGTGTGTGTATGTGTGTGTGTGTGCATGTGTATGTGTGTGTGTGTGTGTGTGTGTGTGTAGGCACGTGCGTGTGTGTGTGTGTGCATGTGTATGTGTAGGTGTGTCTCTTTCCTGGCTTTAGAGCTAATTTATTTATGAACAGGTCCTCTTCACATATTATTAGGCTATAGTGCAATGCAATACAAAACACTCAAACAAAGCAAACAAACAAAGCGACACCTGGAGATTTCAGTGGCGCCTGCTGCTATATCCACATGTAACATGCTGAAAACACGATCCTACAAGAATGACTGTTCTCCATTCCTTCTTTGGCTTTCCTTTGCTCACAAACAGTCCCAGACTCTAAGCCAGCTAAAAATACAACCTGTGTGTGTATGTGTGAGCTTGAAAAGAAGCAGCATAAGGCCAGCAGACTGCAAGTCTTCCGCAATACCTAGGTATACACTGGCACATATGGAAAGGAGTGCACACACACAGCAGCAACTGCCATTTGTACAGAGCTCTTCGTTGGTGGCGACATCCGCCTACACTTGCACCGAGGAAGTAAAACAAACACACTGTGAGACAAAGAATCTAATCTCATCCCTTCTGGCATCAGAAATTGATATGTGAAGGGAGGCAACACACAATGTAGGGTGGTTACAGACATATTGGAGGTATCAAACAGAGATGATGTCTAACAACAGGTTCTCACGGAAAAGACAATAAAATGTAACCAAGAGAAACAATGCAGTGAGAAGCCTAGCTGTTAAAAACATGTACTACTTCAGAATTTGTTGTTAAAAACAATAGACAGGAAGACTGATTTAAAGGACTGATTCAAAAGCCTCAATAGAGCTCTTAGATGCTGCAAATGTCTTTACATATTACATATTATATACACCTACCGGCCACTTTAGTAAGTACACTTGTTCATTTGCTTGATAACATAAATAGCTAATCAGCCAATCACATGGCAGCAGCTCAATGCATTTAGGCATATAGATGTGGTCAAGACAACTTGCTGAAGTTTAAACTGAGCATCAGAATGGGGACATTAAACTTGAACAGGAAACTGAGGCTACAATTCACACCGGCTCACCAAATTGGACAATAGAAGATTGGAAAAGCTGATGAGTCTGATAAGTCTTGAATTTGGCGTAAACAACATGAAAGTATGGATCCATCCTGCTTTTTAACAATGGCTCAGGCTGCTGGTGGTGGTGTAATGGTGTGGGGTTAGGGTTCTTTTAAATGATGCTAACCACTTCAGCACCGCGCGCCTGTCACAAAGTTCAAATCATCAGAAACTGGTTTCTTGAACATGACAGTTTACTATACTCCAGTGGCCTCCACAGTCACCAGATCTCAATCCAATAGAGCACCTTTGGGATGTGGTGGAACAGGAGATTCTCATCATGGATGTGCAGCCGACAAATCTGCAGCAACTGTATGATGCTGTCAAGTCAATATGGACTAAAGTCTCTGAGGAATGTTTCCAATGTTTCCAACACCTTGCTGAAAGTATCCCACGAAGAATTAAGGCCGTTCTGAAAAGGCCGTTCTGAAAGCAAAAGGGGGTCCACCGCATTACTAGCAAGGTGTACCTAATAAAGTGGCCAGTGAGTATATGTTATGTAGCTAGTTAAAAAGAATTAACATTGAATATTGGTTTCATACAGGAAACAAACACTCGTGTCCTGTGTTAAAGTCCAACCACTGGGACCCCTCCCTACGTGAACTTTTTCAGTTATTTATACAAGGCCTGATTGTAGCATTGAACAATGATGCTAAAATGGTACCCTTTGTGCAAAAACATACAGTACTTAGAGTTCACAGACACACAATGTAATGCAGGCAGATAAGGACTTGCTGCTCCAATAAGCTCTAACAACTGAAATTCAAAAGTAAGTCATCAAATTTTTAAACACCTCCTATCTAGCCATTCCTACTTCAGGGCCAAGAGTTGAACTAAGACGCTAGCTCGTCCTGAAACTCTGCCCATACACACCAGGGCTTCACAACAGTCACCAAACAATCTGGCCCAACCAAATCATCTTAAAACCAAAGGAAAAGGCATCAAATATTGGAATGAAACCATCAAATCACATGGTGGCACAGTAGGCCTACCTGGCCACCATGACTGTTAGAAAATTACGGAAAACACTGACAATGTACAGATGGAGTGGATACAGCCTGGATACAGCCTTCTCATAAAAGGGAGGTTGAGACAGAATCTCACTTCTTACTATAGAGTGAGAAGGATT